AAAATAGAGGAATGCCTTCAAAATACTGAGGGTAAATTACTTTCAGTCTAGAACTTTATTCTCTAAGAATCAAAAATGTGAGGATAAAATAGAACATTTTTAAGAGAGAGGTACAGAGAATTGTCAGAATAATGGTAAAGGGAAGTCATAGGACAGTACTGCATAGACGGTGCTTGACATTATTGAAAGTTTTACAATTCTGTTAAAGAATTTGAGAAAGAATGTGATAGAAACAGAGAAAACCAAGCAAACAAAAGAGAGGTGATTATTAATTCCGGGAAAAACAAATGATTGTGCAAGAAAGAAATAACTGGGCTCAGTTCTGTACAGTATTCATATGGCCATATGTGAGTTTCATTTAATGAAACAATATTGATTTTATGGAAAATTTTGCTTTAATTTTTGCAAGGGGGAAGGGTCAAGAGGGAATGTACATTTTATGAAATAGTCATAAAACAAATTAAAACTCTCATCTTTTAAAATAGGAAGTCAGTAATAGGAGCTCTGGTGGTGCAGTGGTTAAAGCATTTGACTGCTAATCAAAAGGTCAGTGGTTCAAACCCACCAGCTACTCCATAGGAGAAAGATGAGGCAGTTGCTTCCATAGAATTTACAGCCTTGGAAACCCTGTGACGCAGTTCTACTCTGTACTATAGGGTCACTATAAGTTGGAATGAACTCAATGGCAGTGAGTTTGGGTTGGTTTTGGTAATGTCTACAATAGAAGAACCAAGCAATAGCAATCTGAACAGGTTGTCTCAAAATGATGAGAAAAATACCAGAAGAAACAGCTAAAAGGATTTGAAGTAATCTGTTTCCCTGGGAGTAGGAATCAAGGATGAGAGTGGTGAGAGGCAGTGGTAATTTTTTTATTACAAGCCTTGTAATACTATTCAACCTTGAAACCATATGAATTAGCTAAAAATCAAAAGCAACTTAAAGAAACAAGAAGATGGAAATTAGGATATAAGAGGATGGGATATTGGAAAAGTTCATCCATATGTATATTGGAATCACCAAGAATGGTGGTAGCAATTAGGCTCTAGATAGTGACTATGAGCCAGGGACTGAATTCTTTGTGTGTGTGGTGGTGTGTGTGTGTGATTTGGGTGAAAATTTACAGAGCAAATACACTTTCCATACAGCAGATCACATACACTTTGTCTCATGACATTGACCACAGTTTAGCACAATGCAGCATCTCCCTTCCCACTTCGTTCCGATAGTTACCACTTCCCTGTGTCCATCCCTCCATG